CATTCGGGCCACGGCCATTAGCTCCATGTTGTCCACTCGAAGGATAATTTGGAGCTCCATATGCACTAGCAGCTCCTTGCAGACCACTTGAAGCACCTGGATATGGTGCTCCTCGACCCTGAGGTGGATACTGTCCACTATTATAACCCCCAGTTTGTACCCACGATCTTGATAATACCCACTCGGGTGGGTTTTGTTTTGGAGTGAGGTAGGGTTAGGGTTAGGCTGAGGGTGGCAAAGAGAAGATGAACAATTATATATTTTTGATTTTTTTTCTTGTTTTTAAGTTTAATTCAAAGTTATAATTTTAACCCTTTTAAAATTGGTCAAAGTCAATTTATTGGGTCAACTAACGGTCAAACTAACAAAAACCATCAATTCGGACATCAGGTGCAAGTTTTTTAAAGGTTTGGTATTCACGGTGGCACAAACGAAAGATTTGGGCAAACTCTGCAAATAAATGAAAGGTTTGTTACCGCTGTTGCAATTTTCCCCTATTCCAATGGAAAAGTCCTAGCTCTGGGCCGATCCTTAGCTTAGATATTTTTAGAGGACGGTATCGATCTGACTTGCAAACCTTCAATAGGATTGAGTAGTGTCGATTTGTTACATGGTTAGGGCATTTCAAACCGGCCTACCTATTATTACACCCGTAAATCGGAATAGCAAAAGACCTATTATGTTATGTATTAGGTCCAAATAAAAGTTGGTTAGTTATTACAGATAAAACTATACATTGTTGATTTTTATGCTAAGTCAAACATTCTATTTCCACCATGGTAAAGCAGAAGGTGAGAGCAGTAACGACCTATTTTCTTATATAAAGTCGTTTACGATCAATCTTCCTTACCAGTTCAGGTTCAACCAAGCACGACAAATACCTGGTTCAACTTAGCACGACAAATGCTAAATGCCCTGATTCAACTCCTATCTATTTTAAATATATATTAATTTAACTTACTTTAGGTTAGTTGAACATGTTTTTTCCACTTCAACCCCAATTGGAAAGCTTGCTACCTAATACAATCCTACAAAGGCGGATCTATATAGCATCATGATCATTCTTAATTAGCTTAAAAAATAAACTGAATGTTCCACATTTCAGTTCCATTCCTCATCCAATCGGACTGCAACTTTTGGAACATAATTTATAATTTAATCCCTAGACATAATCATGATCAGTGTGGCCTACTGTTTAATTTCATAAATAATATTTTGCGCTCACATTCTACTTCAAAACTCATTGTGAACCCTTTAACAATGCAAAGATTCAGAGAAGTAAAGAAACACGAGTTTCAACTTAGAGGATGCAAGGCATTGTGCTGTAGTTGCAGACTTAGTGTATCTTCTTCCTCTGAAGAAGCCGAAAGCTCGAGTTCTGTTACAATTCCAACTATCTCCAGCATTGCACATGCCATGGTTCAAGAAAGGCTAGATCAAATGATCAGAGAAAGACGAGAAGCAAGAAATGAAAAGAGAAGGACAAGACGTAAGGAAACTAAGGTCGTTGTTATGGTGGCAATGGAGAAATCCTCTTATGATCCCAGAGAGGATTTTAGAGAGTCCATGGAGCAGATGATAATGGTTAACCATATTCGTAAGGCTAAGGATCTTCGCAGCCTCTTAGATTATTATTTGACGATAAATTCAGAGGAAAATCGGGGCGTCATACTTGAGGTATTCCATGAAGTTTGTACTAATTTATTTCCGTATTGTAAGTATAATTAATACGGACTAATTACTCATCCAGGTAGATATTCCTTTTTCATAAGCCTGCATAAAACACTATTCTGCTGAACTGGTAAAAGCAAGAACAATGAATTTGCCTGTAAAGTTAGATCTAGATATTCAGACAAACACAAGATCTACCAGTTAATTTGTCTGGAAAAATAGGTATGATATAATTCTAATAGGTACTGCAGATCGCCGTGTTGGTTGTTTAGACGATCATGCAAGTAGACGATTGGGGGAAAGCCTTCTGGGAAAGCAGGAAAGATTCCAGATACAACATCTGATTTTCAATTCAATATTACTTCTTGAAAATGTGAATTCCCTAATACAACCTGCATTGTTACAAATAATGTACATGCCGTTCGGAACATACTGAAAACAATATTGGTAGAAAGTCAGCAATTTATCTGTCTAAGGTGTCAGAAGAGGGCTGCCTTCCTTGATGAGCACAAATGCACTACCTCCATCCCCTTTTGAAATGCGAAGCTCGTCGTCAAGGTATGTTGTTAGAAGCCATGACTCGGCATTGCTGTTGGAGAGAGAAAATTTCAGTGGTGGACGGCTAGAAATGGTCTTTGCAACAGAGGAAGCCGTGTTCTCGACAGAAGTGACCAAACCTTTTATGGGCGTCAAATCAATCTTTTGCCCCAGAAATTCGACATTTTCCGCAAATACAAGGGAATCTGTCAACTGGGGAGTGCCAATGACACCTTCTTGAAATTTAATCTGCAAGTCAGTATTGGAAAACTTGAGAGCTTAAGCAATACTGGATATGTCTGAAACTAACCATTATAACTGTTTAACGATAAAACAGCTAATTAGTTTATCATCATGGGACTTCTCTATAGACTTGAGAAGATTAAGAAAATGTCCAAAGATATTGGTGTGCTTTTTAAAGACATAAGAAATGATTAAAAGATGTAAAAATCTAGGAACATAAAGAACCTGCACACGTTTGGGACTTCGAACTTCAAATTTGGCATTGGTGGTTATTGCAGTGGTTGCCAATGGTCCAGCAAAGAGTATCGTGTTCTGGACTGTGAAATTTTCTGAGTCAATGGTCTGCGATATCTCTTCAAGGCTCACCAATGGCATTTTCGCATCGCTTGATAACAAAGGAAATAAACCCACAAATGATGTGTACCTGCAACACATCACAAAAAGAAAAAGAAAAATGAAGTGTTACTATGTGCTTAATTATTCACAGCAACAAGTTATCAGGTCCTCTGTTTTAGCCTTGAGAATATGGCATTGGCACAATCTTGAACATATAATTCAGTTAAAGAATCTACATATTGTGAAATAAGCAAGATGACATATTAGATTCAGAAAAGTGACAAAACTAACAATTTTAAGATATGATCTAACATTTAATGCAAAGTTCAAAACAACTATGGTGTGAGCTACTTCCAGCTCCTCATAAGTCATTACTATCAGTGGCAAAGAGTCCGTCACTTCTGGCAAATTTTGGTAGAATATTAAGAGCTCGTAGGACTTCTAATTTTGCTTTTGATTCTTTTAAGAGTGCTGAAACTTGGGTTTCATGTTAATATGACTATATGAGTAGTCCAAATTCTTATATATTAGTCTATATTTTGTTAATTCTCCAATGCCGAATTTATCCCTTCACATCAGCTTCTTCTAAAAACTATTCTAGCTAGATGAAGCCATTAGAGAGAATTATTCAAACACGTTCAGAAACATTAGAAGGCATGTATGGCTGATGGCTTAACCGCTCCATTAAAAAACTGGAAAATGTCTAAGAAAACATTAAATTGTTTCTTGAAAACATTTATCTAATAATAATAACGTTATGAAAGAGAGAAAAAATTCATTTCTATTAAACTTTTCTAAAAGAGATACACATCATAACTCAATAACTGATTTTTGTTAATGATCCGTAGATTT